AGCTCTGGCGGACTTGGTTCTATGGTAGGTCTTAAAGGGTTAAAAACTCTGTCCATGGTTTGATTTCTTCACATGTGTGGATTCAAAAGCAGCTTTAGAAATATATTTACTCAGGAAATTGGTGACATGTTCGATATTTTCCTGCTGTACGTCCTCCTGCTCTGTTAATGAGCGTGTCACTGAACACAGGAGCTCCATGAAGAGAAATGCCGGCCTGTGGCCTGACTTCAACGACAAACATCAGCTAAACCCAAACACACAGGCGCTGATGTTCATTCTCTCTGAAAAACAGAGAATCTTTTCGCATTTTTAAAAGCTTGCTGCTGCTTACAGCAGGTATGAACGGTGGTTTTTATTATTCATCATGTTTTATGTGCACGATGCATCTTTTATTAAGTAGCTTCTATAATGTTTTATTTTCTCTTTGCCTTGAATCATACTTTTTTTTTTTAAACTAAAGACTTTTCTGTTTATCGTGAACTATTTTCAGGCCAAGATACGTTTGCGTGACATGAAGTGGAGCAAAACTTTAACACCTCGCCTAAAGTGAACGTTCCCAGTTTATGTAGCAAATAAGGTGACACTCCACTGGACACCCCCCATTCAGGTATGTTGAGGTAAATCACTGGTTACACCTGTGCTATTTAAAACAATGTCAGTAATATGTTTTATAACGAGCGTGACGAAGGCTGCAAATAATAAGGTTTCAATTTACGATGAGAGCTTCTCGAGCTTTAACCTTTTCAGACTTTACGCTCTTCTTTGCACGCCGTGGAACCTTCACTGTCTCCACAAAAATGGGACAAAAGCACGCCTGTTTTCTGGAATGTTTTGTAGTAAGAATCCTGCAAAATTAGCGCTGTGCGATATGACCAAAATCTCAGATTCCCACATTTATTGTCCAGACAACGATATAAATCACAAAAGTTTTACATTTTTTACAAGTTGAAACGGCCGCAATTTCCTTTGTGAGCATTTATTGCCCGCCGTGCTGCGGGGAAACGCCTGTTCTAAGGTTTAGAGATGCTCGTGCCTGAAGCAGCATCAGGCGGCGAGCTTAACACTTTAAACTTTGACTCTCGTTCCAGCGCCTGCATACGCCTTCCATGAAATCGGCGCCGTCTTTCACGTCGGGTTCACGTGTCCTGTTCCTGCAACACAGCTGTTTCTGGCATGTTCCAGCGCAAAGCTGCATCCTGTGATCTAAACGTGGACCCATTCTCACACGAGGGG